CCCCCCCCCCGATCTGTTGATGCCCCTCACTCTAGTCCTGCAGTCCTACCCACACTTCAGCCCTGTCCCCGTTAGGGGTGGATGGCTTTGATTCACTGTTGTGCATTATGCAAAACCAGGGGGCAAACCCACTTTCACCGGTAAGGCAAGATAGGACTGGAAGCTCTAATTTACTTCAGTGCCTCCCTGGGATTTCCATAAAAGCAGGAACTGGAAGATATGTTTATTGGCATGTCAGATTTAGGAGTGTGGTGAGGAGATAAGGACCAATGAATTTATATCTGAGCCTCTCACACCTTGCTCCGGCATCCCTGGTGGGAAGAGCACATTTTACTACACCTAAAGCACTCATTAGGGCAGTGCAAAATTTTTTGCCCCAAAGCTGGTGCCTTCCCCATGTCCAGAGTAAGCACGAAGCAGTCACACCTGCAACTCACCTGCATGTGGTGCACACAAAGCACTTGGGGTGGTAGGTCCTGCCCAGGGCAGAGATGACCTCTCCAGTGATGAAGTCCCCACAGCTGTCACACCGAGTCCCGTAGAGCTGCTGGTAGTCATGGGTACAGATGTACTCTTGGTTCTTGAAGAAGAAGCCTGACTGGGCAAGGTCACAGCCGCACACTAGAGGGAGGAAACATACCCACGAAGGAGAAGAGTCAGCCTGCCTGGCACTGTTCCAAGCTGGACATGCTTCCTCCATGAATCTCTAAAAGGGGCAGTCCAGGGAGACCTTCCTGGGGTCAAGGCAAATTGACTGAGGAGTCCAGCAATGCTGGCATAGTCAAAGCAACTCAGAAATGTTTTGGGAGTTTGCTAGTGCTTGTTATATCCCAACTGCACTGGCACAAAAGGTGTGTGGGTTGCAACCCTCACCTAGGCACACGGGAGCTTGACACTAAGCTGTAGAGAATAAGCATGAAGGCGCTTTGCTCATCAAAGCCAGCTGGGCTGGATTTCTCTACGCAGCTCACCAGTTGTGCCCTAGGATACACAGGTGGGTTGTACGTAAAAGGATCCCTTAGCAGTTGTTTCTCAAATACGATTCTTCCAAGGACCTGACCAAGAGCCTTGGGGGTGGGAATCTTGCTTGGCTACTGCTGATATTGCAGCTGGCTTCTTCCACTCCACAGCCAGCCAGCCCTGCAGCAGTAACAACTGCAGGGCCACTGGCACCTCCTTCAGCCCCACAAGATGTCACTGTTGGGTCACTGGCAAGGTCCAGGATGGAGCTCCAGGATTTGGGAGGGCTGGGCACTGCTGAGAGGAAATTCCAGGGCCGTGAGGGGAACTGCCGGTACACCGCACCCTTCTAGCCTGCAGAGAGCTAGGGCAGCGCAGCCCGGTGGGAACGGACATGAGCTGGGCCGGTGTGGGAGCTGAACTATCCCCACCAGACCCATGGCACCTGGAGAGAGATCTGCTCCACCTCGCTCCCCACATTTTGCCTTCAAAAAATTAGGAAAGGCAAATAAATTCCTTCCATGCTCAGGAAACTGAAGGCCTCGTCATATTGCTAGAGCTAGGCTTTCCCAGGGTGGAAGTCATGCAAGCTTCCACCACACAGACCCATTAATGCCCCCTCCCCATCTCTCTTCTAGGACTTAGGAACGACAGCCTTTTCCTGCAGACTGGGAAAGCTGCCATGTTACCGTAAGAGATTCCCAATGGTTTTAGGGAGTAAGCCAACCAGGAGGTGGGCAGAGCTACCGTGCCAGGTTTGGAAAGGTGTGTAGCAGCTAGAGTCCACATGCTGGTACAGCACATGCCATGCAGATTATTATTTTTTATTTAATTTGTATCCAAGGCCAAATTAGTATCCAAGGCCAAAACTAATTCCAAATCCAAGTGTCCAGAACCATAAGTGGGCCTACTACCGGCAAACATCCTCCACCTGCACCTGGGGTTTCAGATGTTTCCAAAACCTTGGGCAGGTGTCCTACTTGCAGGCCCAAGCCCAGAGGCTTGGGGTTTGGATGCCCCTGAGTTTTGCTTGCCCTTAGCCATAAGGCCCTCGGAGCAAGCAAGGGAGGAGACTCCTCCATTTCCTTAAACTGGGTTTAAAGCTGCTGCTGCACCTCGACGGATACTGAACCATGCCAGAAGGGCAGTTCTCCTGCGAAATGGTTCAGGAAAACTGCCTTCTTGGACAGAGATAAGCCTGATTTCAAGTCATCTCACATTGGCCTGAAGCAGTGGTTCAGCCCTGACTGCTTGGCCTCTCTACCTGGGCTAACAAGGTGGCCACGACGCTGGTTTGTGTGCTACAGACAGGGAGTCACCAAACACAGTTTACACAGGCTACAGCTTGACCATATGATGGTGATATCAGGAAGCTGCTACTGAACTGGGTCTGAATTTGAGTCACTGAACTGAAGATGAAGGACTCTGAGATGACTGACTAGAAGCTCTCATCTTCCCATTATCTTCTCAGCTATGGCAGCGCCTGCACCTCATTATCATGCTCTAATCCAGGTGTGTCAAAGATCCAGCTTGTGGGCTAGTTCAGGCCCTGGGTCTTGAGCTGACCACATGTGGCACATGCTGGACCATCCCTGCATGCAGGGCCCCGGACACATGCATGCAGGACCCACTCCAGGACCCACATGCATGCGGCACCCACACGGGGACAGTATGGGACCTCCCCCACATGCTGGTTCTGGTGCCCACAGCTGGTCCAGGATTACACCACATGCAGCACCTACTCTGGCCAGTCCGGGACGCATGCAGCATAGGTCTGGACTGGCTGGAGCAGATGCCGTGTGTTGTGTAGTCCCAGATGCGCCAAAGTAGGCGCTGCGCACAGCTTGCATCCTGGACCAGCTGGAGTGGGTGCTGGATCTAGCATGTGGGGCATGGGGAGTCCATGGGCCTAATCTCACCTTTGGCACCAGCCCCGCACCATTTATCCAGCCTGTGGGATTGAATGAGTTTAACTTTCTTGCTCCAACTGTTACAACACAACAGGAGTCCAGCCTGCACTCAGTGAGGCTGGGGGCACTTAGAGCGGCTGGATGTGAAGGGCAGACTCCTTTGGAGGGCCTCAGAAATTCAGCAGCCCTTGCGATGGTGCTGACACTAGGCAGCTCAGTGCCCTGCCAGCCTGGGATGGGAGGGGGTGTCTCCTCTGCCCTGCCTGGAACTCCCCTCCCCTACAAGCTTCTGCCAAAATGCCTCCAGCCATGTGGCTCCACTCCCCATCTCCCACCTCCCACATGTGGCAGCCTTTGGCAATGCCCTGCTTCTCCTGGCAGGGCTGGCAGTGGCCCATAGTGAGAGGAGGGGACTCAAAGCAGCCAGCACTGCTGCTTCGCTGGCAAAGAGCCCTCGGGCAGAACAAAAGAAACTGCCTCCTCATTCCTCTCGCTGGATTCTCCAGAGACTAGATACCACCATGACAAGGACAGATGGACAGAGAGGCTTCTGCCACGGAGCAGAGGCAAGAACATCACAAGCAGGCTTCAGCCCTCTTTGCACCAGCAACTTGAACTACATTATCAGCGACAGCGTTCAGCAATGGCTGTCAAGTGCTCAGGGTGGAGGGGAGAGAGGGGGCTGGGGGAAGTCTTCAGGGGGAGGAAGAGACAGGCTGGAATGGGAGCTGGGGGAAGGTGAGACTGGGCAGCAAGGGAGCTGGGAGGGGAAGGTGAGGAAGGAGGATTTCCTCTCATTATTTATTCCCTTTCACTTTGAAATGAGGCGGAGAACACTGCCAAGCTCCCCCCTCGTGGCTCCGTATCCCCTTTGAAGCTGGAGACAGTCTGAGCTCTTTGTCTGGAGGAAGAGTTTTCTGCTCCTGGCAGATACCGTAGCGGGGGGAGGGGTTTCTCCAGCCACCCTCTGTGCACCTGTAGACCAGCATTGAGAGTGCTAGCCTGGAACCAGCGTGTGTGTGGGAACATGCACATGTGAGCTCCCCATGTTTGTACACGCGTGCGTGCGTACATGACTGCAAGAGATAACATAGGCACAGAGGGCACTTGTACACGTGACAGCTGTCACGATGTTCATGTGATGAAAATACCATTTGTGTGGCTTAAAGGCATCACACATTACACATGTGCCAGTTTGAAGAGTTTTAGATGAGTTTGCATCACTGCAAACTAAACGACATCAGGATGAGGTGCTTGTACACACGATGGGGTTTAGACCTCAGGGTTTTATTTTATGTCCCCTAATTGAAATGGTGGGTTTTTAATTGAAACCCACTATTTCAATTTTTGCATCACATTACGGCAAGGGGTCCATTCCTTTTTTTTTTTTTCTGTCAGAGCCGGAGCCTGCCCGCCGCTGGGGGGCGTGCTGCTGGTGAGCCGAATGGCCCCGGAGCTGCAGGGGAGGCCCGGTCCTTCCCTTTGTGGTGGTGGCACTCCCTGGGGCTGCCCAGGTTGGCCTGCTAGTGGGCCAGGTGCTGTCCCAGCTCAGAAGCAGTACCCAACCTGATCCGATTCTTCCTCAACCCTGAGTTCAGACAGCACCCAGCCTGCTAGCAGCCTGCCCAGGCCACCACAGAGGGAAGGCCCAGGGCTTCCCACAGCTCAGGGGCTGCTTGGCCCACTGGCAACTCACCCTCCAGCCGGGGGAGAGGCAGGCAGGCTCTGCCAGAAAAAAAAGGATCAGGCCCCGCACTGCTTCTGCCTTCAGCAGATTCCTGTAGCCAGCAGGATGCCTGGAGTCACCCAGCAATGGGCTGGCTTGCCCCTGGGGCAGCACAGAAAGGTGGCAGAAGGGCAGCTGGGTGTGCTGGCAGCCGGAGAAGGCGGCAGGGATGGTACAGGGGGTGCAGGGCCACATGGGCTGGCTGCTAGCTGTCCAGGTGCTGCCCCAGCTCAAAGGCACCTGATCCAACACTTAGTCGAGCCTGCCTGGGCCTCCAGCACCCCGTGCACCATCCCTGACACCTTCTCTGGCTGCCAGCACACCCAGCTTGCCCCTGGGGCAGTGTGGGCAGGTGGCAGGAGGCAGGCTGTGCTGGTGTCCTGAGACACCAGCAGCTGGGGGGTGAGCTGGGGGGTGAGCTGATAGCTGCATCATTGCAATTTGCAATGTTGCAAACTAAAGTACATTGGGATGTAGTTTAGTTTGCAACAATGCAAATTAATTTAAATTAATTTAAAACCCCCAAAACTCTTGCATATGTAGAGTGTGATGTCATTAAGCTACAGAAAGTGACATTTTCATCATGTGTATGTGATAATGGTGTCATGTCTACAAGTGCCTACGTTAGTGAGGGCCTGATCCTTTTTTTTTTTTTAATCGGAGCCAGAAGCTACCCATGGCCAAGGGTCGAGCTGCTGCAGGTGGGCTGAGTGGCTCCTGAGCTGTATGGGGCCCCAGTCCTTCTCTCCACAACAGTGGCACCCCCCAGGACCACTGAGGTGGGCTGCTAGTAGGCTGGGTGCTGCCCCAGTTCGGAGGGAAGGACTGGGGTTCCCCGCAGCTCAGGGGCCATTCAACCTGCTGGCTGCTCACCCGACTGTGGGCAGGCTCTGGCTCCAACAACAACAACAAAATCGGGTACATCACTATAACATGACGGAATAATTGAAACCGTGGGTTTCAGTGAAAAACCCACTGTTTCAATTTAGGGGGCATAGAATAAAACCCTGAAGACTAACTCCGTCATGTGTACAAGCACTGATGGTACATATTGGGGTGAAGGGTGGTTTCTAATTGTAGGAGGGACCAGGAGAGCCCTGGAGCAAGACTTCCCCACCTGAGGGGAAACCTGAGGGTAAATCTAACTTCTCCCTGGGTGAGAAGTAGCTAAAAAGAGGCCAAGCTGAGGGTGATTTATGCCCTGGTTAGCATGAAGTGATGGGAACTGGGAGGAGCAGGGGCCTTTAATAAGCCCTAGCAATTCTGTGCTTTACAGGGTATAGATTGGTCCACATAAGAGTGGCTGTATTAATAAATGTACTAAGGAGCCCTTAAGCATCTGTTCTGGGCCATTAGTTTTAACGGCTTCTCAGCTCTGCTCCCCCTGCTTTCATCTGCAGGGTCCAACGAAGAGACAGAGTGGCCCTTGGTACTCTCAGTGCCTACTGCAAACAGCCCAGGGGGAACACAAAGGTTGGGGTGTTTTGGAGGCGAGCAGTGGTGGTGGTAGTTATAAGGTGCAGGGGGGGCACGGGACTGCCACTTCCAGGGGGTTAGCTCCTTGCGGGCTGCAGGCAGCCGTGATCTGAAGTCGTGCCATGTGTCAGGTCCTTGGTGGTCCTAAGTTCAGGGACTGAGGGTCTCAGCACAGTTCCTAGCAGACCAATAAGCGCATCACAGGAGCTGCCAACACAAATCATCCACATCTCGCCTCATTTCCTGAATGCATCCCACGGCTGAGGCAGAGGGAAGCCCATATTCCTTTAGGTTGATGGGTCTTGTAAAATTAATGAATTACCAGAATTACCCATTTACTTCCCTCAGCTGTAAAGGCACAGGAGGCTCCACAAACACAGATGGGATCAGGGACATTTCCCAGACTGCTCCTCCGTGAGGGGCACTGGGCTTCACTGCCCAGCTTGGCATTTGTGTGCCTTTGCTTTATGAAATGCATGCAAAGGGCCTCTGAAGCCCAGCAGCGGCACGTGGCCAAGGTGGAGCTGGATGCGTACAGGGCATCTGCTTTGATCAGGGTGTGTGAAAGCACCTCCAGTTCAAAAGCACCATAGTCCAGGAGTCCCCGGAGGGAGGTTAGTCTAAGCTGCAGTACATGGCATCCCGGAGTGCATTGATTTCATCCTTGCTTCCTATCACTTGACTTCATTACCCAGGACTTATGTCAGTTGCTAGCTGAAGACCCCGTCATATGCAGCTCCAGGCTTCTCCCCTCTTTTCTCCCTGCTTTATCTCAGCTGAAGCCGGTTCCCCTGAAGGGAAGCCTGGGGGCAGCAGCTCAGAACAGCTCTTCCTTTCTCCCCTATCTCTGAGGGTAAGAGGAATGAGGCACTGCCTGCAGTACACCAAAGCGGAGACACTTCACTGGAATGCATGTAGGTGTCTGTAGCTCATGAACATGGGATAGAGAGCGGGATTAAAACAGCGAGAGGTCTGTGTGGGGGTGGGATGGGATGGGGTGGGGATTCAGATGCACTGGAAGAGCTGAGTAGAGATGCCAGGACCATGCTAGCAGGTGTGCATCTCAGCATCAGGAAGGGGCAAAATTGGCTTGTCACCTTCCCATACCAAGCCTGGCTGCTCCCTTGTCTGGCATTAAACCCATACACAGAAACAGGATCAGCCAACCCATGTGAACACATATAGGCTTCACTGGGTCTCAACAGGGCTGACTTACCCTGGCATTTTGGCTTCTGGTCCTGCTCTGAGGTCAGCAGAACAGCCTGAACAGGGACACCAAATGCTCCAAGCTCCTACCTTGGCATGTGAAGCACCTGATGTGGAAGTGGTTGCTCTGGACACGCACCACCTCTCCTTTGCATGTGTCCCCACAGCGGTAGCACTGGATGACGGTGGAGCCACTCCTGGAGCTGTAGGGGTTTTGTTGATAGGGAACTGCTGGGGAGAAGGAGAGAGAAAAACACCAGGTTTGTTATCTTCAGGAGAGCACTGCCTGGCATGCGGTGAATCAGCAGCCCAGTGCCAAGCTGGGTGAACAGCAACCATAATGGTGAAACCCTTCAGCAAGCCCCTTTCTGCAAATATAGCACAAGCCTCAGACAAGCCTGCCATTAGAGGCAGCCTGTCTGAGCAGGGCAGAGGGCTGAGAGATGTTCAACCTGCCTGATGCAGTGCATGAGCTGGGGCAAACAACTTCCCACTGGGGCCTCTGTTTCCCCATCTGTATAATGGGAATAATGTGACCGACCCAATAAACTTTGTGTGGTCCCAGGGTGAAAGGCTCTAGATGTGGACAGAGTAATACTCCCTGTCATCATTCCTGGGAGCCAGACTCTGCCCTAGTTTTACACTGCCCATTTCAAATAAACAACTGGTTGCACCCAGCAACGGTAAGATATGCCCACATTGGGGGTAGGCACAGTGGTTTGTGAGCCACACACTGGCTTCCCTGGGAGCACACACAGAGGGGGGCAGTGATAATTGGGACTGGGCATTGAGTCTTGTCTCTGCCCTGGGTGAGCCATCTGGTTCCATGAGTTTACTGCTACAGATAAGTTCAATAACACCATGGGCCAGGAAACTCAGGAAAAGGAGAGACCATGGGGAGAAGGGAACCCAAGGGGCCATGTGCGGTTCCACCAGACTTAGCCACCCTCATCCACACACAGCTGGGTGGAGGTGCCCGTCAGTGCCAGGAGCATAAGTGGCACTAGAAAATATTATTGGGGGGGCTAGGCGGTGCGCCCACCTGATCCTGCCCCTCCCTCCTGCAGGGCTGTTCTGGGGCCTGTGCACACTGGTACTGTGTGTGCAGTGGTGGAGGAGCACATGGCGGGGGCGCTGGGCATGGTGCTGCGGTGGTGCTGGGGCCGCTGTCACCAGCCCAGCTGGGGTGGGGGGCAGAGGCTAAGCCCCATTAGCTCAGGCCTTCTGCCACCTATCCACCTATGGCCAGGAGGTCTCTGGTTCTCTGAGACACGACGTTGCATGAAAGCTACAGGCCTGCTGAAGATTTCTGAGAGTCAGCCTTCTCCATGACCCTTCCCATCTCTTCTTCCCCCCTGCTATATTCACTGCCACAGCCAGGCAAGGGCTAGACAGCTCACACACATCTGCTCCCAAGACCTCCAAATAGGAGGCACTGCCTGAGTAAACGCACCCTAGTCCAAACACTAACCTCACTCTGGCAGGGCCTGCATCTGCTTCCCAGATGTGGAGTCAGCCAAGAAGCCTGCTAAACATGTAGCTCAGCCATGAATAGCATCCTCTTGCTTCACACACCAGAGAAGCTCCTTCCCCCAAGTTCTCAGTGCTGACTCTGATTCATTTTGCATGAAGCCAATAGGTCACTTTGGCTTTCCTTTACTTTAAAGGGAATCTAGTGCTGGAGAAAGGTGTCCTAAAGGCTTCTTAAAAGTAGGAAGCCCCTTGATCCTATGTCTCCGCTGAGCCTGCCTAGTGCCACGGAGGAGCGGTGGTTTTTGTCATTATGTTTGCACTAGTGTCATTAGGTGTGGGACTAAGATGAGTTCGTTTCATCCAGGTCACTGGCTGTTCTCAGGGGTAACAACCTCCTGTCCATCCTGACCCAGCCTGGAATCAAATCTGGCACCTGGAGATGGTGGGAACATTAACTCCCTGGCCTGGTCTCCCTCAGAGGGATGGAGCAGCTCCCTGGCTGGACTGCAGCAAACAGGAGCAACCTGGGTGTGTGCAGCCTCTCTAGAAAGACCTTGGGATGTCCCAGGGAGACTCTCCCTGGGTGACAGAGGTCAGATTCTTCCAAGTCCATTATCCTATGGAGCAGCCTCTCTGGGAAATAGTAGAAGCTGAACCACTTAAACCATTTGACAAGAAACTGAAGAAAGCCCCAGAGGGCACAAACTCATCTCCCCTCCTAAGCCTCCTGCCCTCCCTGCTTGCTCAGCAGCATCCATCACTCAGCAGGTTGGTTGCCAGGAAGGACTCTGCCTGCCGCAAGGTGCAAACTCTGGGCTCCAAGGAATGGGCTGTACAGCCTAAGTGGTCTTTCCAGTGCTGACTGCTACAGACAAATCCTCCTCCAGAGCGCACAGAAGACATTTAAAGGTGCAGGCAGGTCTAGATCCTTATGATTTCATAGAACAAACCACTTTGGGCATCTCCTCTGCACAGTTTGCAGAAGCTTGTGGACACATATCACTGGTTTTTACACCTAAGCAGTAAAATAAATACTGCTTGCTGTCAGAAATATGCGAAACAGTTGGGCATGGGCAAAATGATCGGGAAAAAGGTGGGAAAGTCAGTGAACCAGAACTAAGCCAGTGATAAACTACTTCCCTGGGAGAAAAGGAAATTGAGTTTATTGAAAACTTGGTCCATGAATAAAGGTTGAGAGCATGAGTGAAGGGACACTGAATAGAAGAGATCTCTCAGCAGAGAAATGTCATTTGTTGTGGGGACAGGACTACATTCAGAAAATTCTGTGACAGAGAAAAGAGAATCGGCCCATTGTTGGCTTCACTGCTAACAAATCAAAGCTAAATTAGAGTGTCCTGTGCCAAATCCCATCCGATGTGCCAAAGTACAGATGATTTGAGCTGTTTTGTTGGTCTGTGCAAATGTACAGCAGTGCCCACAATTAGTGACTCTTAGGGTGTGACGCAAATGTTAAGAGACAACCATACCTTCCCCAGACAGTCAGTCCATCCTGTGCTATTTACAAGGCATCCTCAGAACATCAGAGATGTGCTGGAGCATGCACAGAACTGCCATTCATTCCAGTGGGGGCTCAGCCTGTTGACGGTGGCAGGATGAGTGCCCAGGCCAGGGTCAGCCAGTCACTGCTAGCTCCACTGTTTGGCCCTGGATCTGAGCTTCCTTGAGCTCCCAAATGTTAGGGCTGAGTCCATTTTTATTCCAGCAGATTCAATTGTTAGAAAATGGGCTGGGGTTGCTGATGTCTGAACCAAGCGGAGCTGCCCTTGGCAGCTCCAGGAGCGACAATGCAGGAATCCCTGAGTTCTGCCCGTATCCCACACAAACTAACAAAAGCTAACAAGAGCCATGCATTTGCTGGTCGGTCACCCATCCAGAGATCCAAAATGCTGACAGGGTTTGAGGCCCCAATTCCAATCAGAAAACAAGGCACTAAAATGCCAACTAGTGAGAACAGTGTGACAGGTAGATCCTCTCCTCCTCTTTCCACATTGGGGCAAAGGAAAAGTCTGGGAACTTGGAGAACTCTACTTTCAGAAAGTACTTGAGGAAGGAATAAAGCCTTTCTGCACAGCCTTGGCTGACTTGAACAGCAACGTTTCCCCGGCCCGTAGCAGGACAGGCTAGATGAGTCTTGTCAAGCCTTCATTCTGGGGCGTATTCTGTACACTGGAGGTACAACTTAGTGCCTTCTAGCCTCAGCAGGATCTCTTGGGGGTCCACAAAGTCCTGAGACAATGTCCTGCCGCCGTAGATGGGGAATAGCGATCACTTGTGTCAGAGACTCCAGCAGAGCAAGAGTTACAGCAATGCAAACGTCCTCCCCCATCTTCTGCCTGCACCCAGCCTGAGAACAAAGCAGCATCCACATGTTGGGAGTCAGCTGTGCCACTCTGCAGGGCCTTGGCCAAAGGGGGGTGGGGGGAAGATGTGAGCTGAGGCATTCATCAACATTTAAATAAACGTTAATAAAAATCTGCATCGGAAAATTCATCCATCAATTATTCCGGGCTTCTCTTGTCCCTAGGGGGAACTTCTCGGTGTCCATAGCAACCTGTCATCAAGCCCCTGTGTTGACAGTCTGGGAGGGAGGGCGGGAGGCAGAGGCAGAGCGGGAGGGAAGGAGGGAGGAAGCTCTCATGGTCAGTGAAGTCAGGGGCTCAGTGACAATCAGTTGGACCAAGGAAAGTCCTGAAGTCAATGGGGTTGTTCCAGATTTACACCAGTATCACTGGGCCAGGAACCTGGGCCAGGCAGCCATCACCCCCTTGCAGGCCAGCTTTGTTCAGTATCGAGTGGAAGGCTTCCCCTAATGTGAGATTAACCTCAGGCTCTCTAGAAACATTAATGTATTGTTGTGTTCTGCTCCCACTTGTTTGCGAGAAGCTGGCAGCTCCCTCCTGGCCCGGCACAGGAAGTATTACACATCACAACACCCCTTTGCAGAAGGACAGCCAATCCAGCAAAGCTCATTACACCCAAATAATCCAGTAATAATAATGTAAGTAGCATTAGGGGCCTCGTAGGCTCAGATGCGATGGTTGGGGCAGGAGGTGGAGATGGGCTTCAGGAATGGCTTAAGCTCAGGCTTGAGCACTCCTGGGATTCATGGTCATGCCCAGCAATGGTGTCACAATGGTGTCACAAGCTGAGCAAGGCCGAGCCTGGTCCATCCTTGGATGGGAGGTCTCTGAAGGAAAACCAGAGGCAAGCAGCTGATGGTGCTCTTCCTTCAGTCAGTGCTGTGGGAGGAAGCAGCTCTGGGACACGTCAAATAACTACAGGGCTGACTATTACCTACTCACTCGGGGCTCATGGCTTTCCCTATGAGGATGTGAGCTCCGGGGTTCCTGGGCAATCGGCTCTTTCCTTCCAAAAGCCCCTCTGCAGTCTCAATAACATCAACTGTCCTTCTCCTTTTCCTGCCACATCCTGAATTGCCATGTGACATTGCTATGCACTGTGAAACCACTGCTTACCTTCCTCCTCTGAGGCAGCTGGATTGGAACGGAGGGGAGAGCAATTCCCTGTGGGGCCTACAAAGTGTTTGGGGATCCTCTGGGGAGGAAGACAAAAACACAAGAGAATAATTATCTTCATCAAATACACTGCAGTGTGAAGCCTCCACAGCTAGTGAGAAGGCAAAACCCATCTGTTTGGACAGCTATGAGACCTGCTGTCACCACTGCAGCCTGGTACTGCAGTTGGCCGTGTCTAGAGGCACCACATGGTGCTGCCAT